ACGCACGCCCGCGCGCGCGCGCGCACGCACACACACACACACGCACGCACACACACACACACACACTCTCCCTCCCTCCCTCACTCATTCACCCACTCGCACAGTCACACCGAGGCAGCCACATAGACAGCCCTGTGTACGCATCGGGCGGAAACCATCGACTATGCTGGCCTTGACATCGACATAGGAGGTCAACTTGCCATCCCCACCAGCGCTGGTCTCCTTTCCAGAATTCAGCTTAAGCGAACCGCAGGCTTGCACAGAAGACTCGTCTGCACATGCTGCAGCACTTCAGCTTCAACATCGCTCTGAGCCTGCTGGTACAGTATCGTAAAGACAATGACAGGCAGTGGCAGTATCCCTTGCATCTCTACTTCTGGCAGGCAAGGACGATGCACAATCAGCACCAGGGCAGTTTGTCAGATCGACCCTGTGACAAACCCCTTGTGTTGCTCACTCATGTCTTGCCCACAGCATCTGTGAGGACTCGCAGGCTAAACAGAGGTGCACTGGCAAGCTGTTTTCAGATGTGCCAGGCACAGGGAGCCATTCAGGAAGCCCACAGCAGGTGGGAACAACCCCAAACCACAAACTGTTTGACGATGGTCCCAGAAGGGACACTAATTATGCTCGCAGCTCGTCCCAGGACTCACCAAACGTCAGAGCTCAGCAGCGCCGCTAAGGCTGCTACTTGTAGTAGTGGAAACCTGGGTTCAGGTTTCGCAGCTGAAGAAGCAGAAGCAAGCAATCCACCACTTGCGTTCTGCATCACGTTTGCTTTGTTTCGTCGTGTGGGGTGCGTGGAAGCATGCTCCAGAAGTGTCAGACAAAGTTGGAAGCATCAAGCACCAACTCCTACTAGACATGGCCTTCGCAGTTCGAGATCGAGGAGAGCGACAGGCGAGCAACCGCAGCATGCCGTTTTCAACCCGATTAATTACAATTGCGGCTGCTTTGCATACTGTCTGTCCTCACCTACCTATAAGTTCATCTCAACAACCCCAACACTGAGGCACGCACAGGTTGATACAGCAGCACGCTGACATCGTCTGCTTCATTGGGACCGTACCTTGCCCGACACATATTTTCCCAATGAGAACAAAAAATCACACTACCCCCACGCATAGAGGAAGGAGCCGCGGCGGTCCCTGCCAGCCCTGCCTTGTCCGCCAGCCTTTGAGCGCCGTCGCGGCGAGTGTCGCTGCCTGGTCTTCGCGGCTTGGATGCTGCGTGTCCTTGGCATCTTGCAGTGTCTGTTGTGACCTATTCCTCCTTAGATGGGGCATGATCGGGAAATGCCCTTGCCGTGATTGCTCGCCTTACCTTCAAGCATGTGTTGCACAAGTCTCTGCCAGAATCTCCACGGCTTCCTCTGCGTCTACGACGTCCCACACGCCATCCTAAGGAGCAAGCAGCGTGAAGCTCAAACCTCAATGTTTCGTAAATCTACTTGCAGGTTTCGCAGATGGGGTCTGCCAAGGAACCGAAGCAACAAGAACAATGTCATCCGCCGTCACGTCCATGAAGTCTGACGTCTCCGGCACCTCTGCAGCACGTCGCTAGCCACCAGCCGCATACACATCACATCGAAACGGAAGTTGCTAAGATCTGCTGAGATGCGGACTGCCAGAAATCCAGCACTTTCCTGAATTTTGGCGGCAGGCGAGAACACAGCAAGGTTGCAGGAATCAGCAAGGGCGAGGCAGCAAGAAATCAGAAAGATCCTGACGCTAGTACGGGTTTAGGTGCTGGAAGCTATCCTGCTCTACATTCCCTGACACTCTGTGGGGAGTCGTTGGGCGTCCAGTACCTAGACTCTGACTTTGCGACGGCGCGATCCACTGATGCATGTGCTCGCAAAACTCTGTGCATCAGTAGTTCCAACTCTACATCGCCCAAGCCCCTGGTCGGCATCACCTTGGCTATCTCTGCTTCCACGAAGCTCATGTGCCGGCATACAGTAGTGGTCGTACCTCGCAGCCTACTTCCTAAAGCCGACACGTCTACAAGTAGTGAGCGCGCCAATCGAACGACCCCACCAATGGGAGATTTCAGATTTCATGCAAGTGGCACACCCAGCATAGGGGGTGGAACTGCACAAATAGCCGTCACGGAGGCGATAGCTGTATGCTGGGCGGTGTGTCTGCAGACGGTGAAGTTCCTCATCATTCTCCAGGGTGTGCATCGTTGTCCTGTACACAATGTGCCTCAGATTGGGATTCTGGCTGGGGGAGCAAGCCACTATTGCTCACTCACACATCATCAAGCAAAAGGAATCGCTTCAAAGCGTGTGGCAGCAGGTGCTTGTGACACATTGCGCAGAGGGGCCCACCACGAATCAAGACTCCCATGGAATCTCCGGCCCAGGCAAAAGCGACGCGAGAGGTTTTCACCTGGAGCTCTTGCGGTGGCCATTTGTACGAACCGGACAGCAGAAAAAAAAAGAATATATATATATATGTATGTATGTGTATACATATATATATATATATATGATACGTATATGATATGCAAGTCGGCGCCTCTGACACGACTGCCACGAGGGTGGAGCCGCTGCGCCAGTGCTGCTGCCGCGCCTGGTCCTGGCTTCGATTTGACGGATTCCGAACTCTGTGACGCGGAATTCGCGACTTGCCGCTGGAGGTCGTACAAGGGGGTATAATTTTTTCTGGTAAAAACAGAGAGGCGAGGGCCGATTCGCAAAGTGCAGGGCCTTGTCGGAGTGCACGCTGGGACACTCCGAGTTGGGAGCGGGGTCTACCAGCATCGTTTCGGGGACAGTCATTACGACGGCAAGCTGGAGGGTTACGTGCAGACCCTGGCCTGTGGCGGACAATATAAATGGATTCATGTACCTATGATAAAGATGGGCGCTGTGGCTATATGTGACCAGGGTCTGGGACGGTCTTCGGTTATAGGGTCTCCAGATGGCATCCCGATTTCAGACCCTTGCAGACCGAGGGGGCATGCTGGGGATAGCTCAAGGTGATGCATCTTCGCATCAGTTTCGCTGGCAGACGGTGGCTCTACGTAGGCAGGAAGCAAAAACGGCCTGGAAGGCTGCAACTGAGTCTTCAGCACAGCCAGGCCAAACCTGTTGGAGCTGAGACAGTCTAGACAGCTTATAGTCCAGGCAGTGTTGAGGCATGAGCCAGACGAGGTTCGGCTGATTGTTCAGCGGGCCAGGACGGTTTCACAATCCACAACAAGGAGGGTAATACTCCACAATTTCGTCATCTCGACTCGACTGGACTTTGACGGGCTCAGGCTGCTTCTCAAGGCGTCAACAAAATAGGGCGTGCAACAGAACGAGTTAGCACGTGGACGTGTGCAACTTCAGCCATCATAGGGTGGAACACGTCCGCGGCCATGCCCGGTGCAAGTAAGCCACTTGCAAGGCCTTACTGAGCCTGTCTACTCTGAAAAGCAGATATCCAACTGGGTCCGAGCTCATCCTTCTCGAGTCTTTGATCTTCCTGGTTTTAAATTTATGTACGTCCACTAGCAGCGAAAGAACCAACTTACATCAACTTACTGTTGATGACTACAAAAACGGAAATAGCAACAACCATGCTGCCGTCCTCACCATTACCCACATCATCCTCAGTGGTAGCTTATTCCCGCAGAATCAACGACACCGCTCGCCTGCAAGTCTGTGCAGTGCTTGAGGAGGCCCTCTTGCAAGGAGGCGGCATGCCGGACGATGTCTTGGCCCCCGTGGCCTGGGAAAGCCGAGAGGGGTCAAGCGGCTCACAAGGATTCTGCTACTAGCCGATCTTGAACGAACAGAACCGACAAGTAGATGAGATCAGCATGCTTCAAGTTGAATCTGTGAGGGGCTGCTGGGAATGTGACGCATTTTTCCCGACTTGGCCCAGCATGAGACCGCCTGCAGAACAAGCTTCCGTCCATAAGCAAGGCAATCCTCAGGATGCCGTTGCTTCCGGGTGTGACGACCACATCCTCACCTATGGGACAGCTTGGACACGAGTGCTCTTATTGCACACCCACGTATTTGACCCACCCAGGCTACCTCCATCATGACGTCCCAAACATTCGGTTGCGGTTCCTTCCCACGCCCTTGGCACCTCGGTGTTGGCCCTTGTTCTGCGAGATCGCTACGGCCTCCGGCGGGCGAACACTGTGGCAGAGCCCATGCTTCCGACTGAAAGATGCGGCAATCTGGCTCTGAGACGAGGGCGAAATCATTTGATGAGGCGCTCTGCCTTACCAGCGACTATCAGTGGACGTGCTCCCTCCCTCCCTCCCTCCCCCCCTTCCGCTCATCCCCACAACATATTCAAATTCAAACATTGTTCTGGCCTGTTCTTCGTTCCTTTCGGCCCTGCGGGCGTACATACAGCCACATCTTGATGCACCGTTCCGAACTGACTCCCATGTGGGAGATAAACTCAGATAAGGAATAAAGGGTCCACGAAATCCACCGAAGATTTCGGCCGTAAGGGATAGTAGTAGTAGTGAGGAAGGTCACGGAGCAAAGCTAAGCTTGTTTTCGACCTTACTTACGTAGTGCTTAAGGATACAAGCTGCAACCTTACTGAGAATTGTTGGAGCCACGGTATTGGCAGGTGGGAGGATGAGGTTTTGCGCTAGTTCCGTCTCTACCTACTCGCGCAGTGCTACTATCTGCGAAGTCCCGCCAGGTTGCACAACATTGTTCCGCAGCGCTGACTCGACCACATCACCAAGCTGCCTCGGTTGGCGACTGACCGCTGTCACATAACGCAGGCTTTCATTGACGCCCTCCGATCGAGCCCTCGACCCCTCGGCGCAAGAACCTATCGGGCGATTGTTGCCACTTCCCCACATGCATGTCCAATGGGGCGGGAAGCAAATCGGCCCCTTTCACCAGGCCGAAAAGGAAGCACCTCGGATTCAGTAGGATTTAGTTAAATTCTGTTCAACAGCTATGGGCTTCAGGAGCAAGCTCATCCAAGCCACCCGAAGGCTTGTCCCAGCAAGCGAACGGACGGGCCAGTCATTCCAAGTTCTGCGCAGTACTTGTGATGCTGTGACTAGGGAGGATTGTTGTGGTGCGGCATTTAACGCCTGTTTCTGCGACTCAGTCATTGAAAGTCCGTCCTGTGCCGGAACGATTCGCTCTACGAGATATGACGGTGTCAATCCTGTACTTCAAGACTGCTCGAGTGGCAGCACTTTTGTTTCAGGTTCTGAGCCAGCTGCAGCCTCGTACAACCCTCCTGTGAGAATGCCTTGATCGCAAAGAGCATTGCCATGCCATGTTGACTGCTTGAAACTCAGCCATTTCAGTCTCGGAACTATCGACAAAGCAGCAAGGAATCTTCGTTGCGTTTAGACTGCCCGCAGGCCATCATGTTGCACGTGATCTGGCCCTTGAGCTCTCTCTCCCTCCCTCAAGCCCCGCTAACCTCTTCCATGTAGAAGTAGGTCTGGAGTTCTTTCACCTCCATGGCCGACAGCTTGAGACAAAAGCCCGGTAGGAGCACAAGAGATCGGCAATAACTACAAGGAGCCAACATCTTTAGAAGCACTGATCCACGAAGCTGGGCAAAAATCAGAGGAAGCTGCGCACAAACAGCAACGGCGTGATGAACATCATCCGTAGCGTTCTTTCATTCTGCAAGGCGGCTCTTCTTGTGATTCATGATTCCGTCACCTCCAAAATGCGTGGAAGGTCTTTGTCAGCATCCTCCTTTCAGGTGCATGTGGACAAGCGACCCCCATGAGATGAAAGGGTCCTGCAGAAGGGCTTCCCGGATTTGTGCCTCGAGCTCCTGCACTGCAGGCGATGCAGGGCGTGCGATGGCGTGCAAGTCGTGTGGCGCACACCAATCTTTCAAGTGAAGGTCACCGGGTGGCTTTGGGAGGTCCTCAGGATTCATCATCATCTGGTCGGCCATGTTGCCCACCTACCATGGGGCTCAGCTGCACAAGCAGCGGTTGGCCCGTCGGACGACCCGGCCTCTGAGTGTGTCTCCAATCGGTGCGACTGCCTGAGCATTGGGACAAGCGGCTTACGCAGAGCACGAAAGCACCAAGAAGTCTCTTCCTCGAAATGCCAGATCTCAGCTACACACGGACTCCCGTCTGGATCAACATGCACGAGGACCTAAGAACTTCAAAAGCAAACACAAAGGGCGGGCGTTAACCAATGGGCCGCTCATCTGATGTTCCCGCAAGCGATTCGCAAATCGAAAGCCACATCAAGATTGAAATTGGAAGGAAAGGTGTGACAAAGCACCCCGCGTCCGTGACAATTGGATGGAAGTCACGGATGACCTGGTCATGCACCGCCTGCGCGAAGTGCAAAGTGCAAGAAGCTTGCGACATGAAGGTATATGATATGTGAACATGTACCATCCCACAACAATTTTTCAGAAATCCACCTGCAATCACGGAAGCTGGTTAAACAAACACCAGAACTGTGAACAAGATGTCTGCCCTGTCCTCTGCAATCATCGAGGCTGCCGATGCCGAAATGCGGGCATCCACAACAATGGTGACATCAGCCAAGCAGAAGCGCCCCATTCGTCGTGTCCTCTTAGGTGAAGATTACAGACTGCGTGGGTCCAGTGTCGGACATGCCGGTAGTCACAATTTCAGACCCCACCCCCCTGCTTTAGCACAAGCCGTCCTCAATGTGTGGCTCCTGACCTGACAGGCTTCTGATTCTCAACGTTACAAGGTGACATATACTCTCCAAAACTTGTGCTTTGCAGGTTGGAAGAGATTGCCATGCACAACAATCACAACGACAAAGACAGCTGCGCGCAGTTGCAAGGGCTACGTCCAGTTGGCTCCCCGTTCATGGACTTAGGCGCCGACACCTTGCACAGTGCCAATATTCCTGCCACGTTTGAAACGGAGTTGGCGACTGCGAGCGCAGGCAACAAAAGGAAGCCAACATGCAACCCAAGTGGCATTGCCGAGCCCTAGTGGCAAACACGCGTGCAGACACGGACACTGGGGCAAAGCAGAGGGGCGAACTTGGTCTGGTTCGTGAGTACAGTTCTCCCCTTGAGCTCGGTCTTGTGACTCTGACTCTACCGTCTGTCAAAGCAGGTGGACCTGGAAAGAGCTGCTCCGTAACAAACACCGGACTCCGCATCTGCAGAACCTGCACAGATTAAGACAAAAGCTGTCGCTCCAGAAGCTGGGCACCATCGGAGTATCAAGTAGTAGGAAGTCCACAAAGCAGGATAGTTTGACCAAGGCCGAGTGCGATGCCATCTTCCGAAAGATACTCGAACTCCCCCGTGGCGTGGTTGTAGTCCTAGTTTGGCTTGGGCATCGCATGCTGCGGCTAACGACGAGTGTACTAGTACCAGCAAGTTCCAAGTCTGGCAGACACCGGATGAAATTGAGCCATTGAGCCCGGGCGTGAGCAGTCCCAGAGTCAACTCCAAGTTCAGGTTCGAAGTTCTGTTCGTCAGTTGAGTCTCTGTGGGCCTGAAACATGCCGGCTGTAGGTGCCTCTGCAGGTCTGACCGGCTGAACCAGGAGCATGAATGGCTCCCGAAACCCCAATCCCACATAGCGATATAGGCATCTCTGAGGCCCGTGCAAGCAGATCGTTCAAGCCTTGAAGGCGTGCTTTTCGTGTCGGTTGGAGCATCGACATGGCAAACACAAAGCAACCTGAGCCTACACATTGACACTCCTAAATGAGTGCATATGTCACCTCATCACACAGCAATGGTCAACACCAACAATGGTTGCAGAATCAAGCCTCTGGAATCTGGAACAAGCTTTCCAGTGCCATAGGCTCCGCCCATTGCCCACTTTTTCGCATCATTCTGTCACTCTAAAGGCCGACCATGCAAGCGGAATGTCCCAAGATCGCTCAGGACATCTGGAGAGCGCACAGCCGGATGCAAAGTCTGCAGTGCCAAACCTTGAAGTGCAATTGATGTAGATGCAGTAGCACTGTAGCACTCGGAAGTTCCGACAGTGGCATGCAACATAACTGGCAACTCCGCTTCCGATGATTCGGATATAAACGTGCCATTGGACCACGGCCACACTATACATGAACTTCTTGCAGCACATACTTGATACTGCGATGGTGCACGACTCAGCTGCTGGTAACCGTAGCTTTCGAGCGTAGATGCATATGGGCCGTGTGCACCAGAATTCATTCATGCGAATTAACTATCACTGCAAGTCCGTCGCAAGCATTACCTCAGAACACGTCGCCGGCACCCCCCCTATCTCAGACCGTGGAACTTCTGATCATGACTAGAACTTTCAGTGGATGCGCAACCCAGGAAACACAGGTCTGCAAAAGCAAACTCACTCGTAGCAGAGGGTCTTGGACAAACTCTGCCTCTCCAATTGTGCCGCTGCTGTTTTGATCGAAGTACGCGATCATCCTTTCCAGCCTCAGATGGCAAAAGGGTGGGGGCATGCTGGGGTGACACGGTGTGACATCGCTCATAGATTTGTAATGTTGGAGCCAGTGGAACTTTGGAAATTTCTGACCCTAGAGGCCCCTGTGTCGGGGAGGGCCCAAACTCGCCGCCTCTGAGGCAAGTGCAGCTCATGTCGCAAGAAACAGGAAGGCCCCTAACCGAACCGCAAACCGGAACCGAACCGCCAGGAACCATCCACCCCTGTGAACCGCGAAAACGGCGAACCGCTGAAACAACGCGACATCGAACCGCGCGAACCGAACCCATTTCCCCTCCATCATCTAGCCCCCTCCCCCTCCTCCAAGCACTTCCCCTTCATCCCAACACCCTCCATCCACGCCCCCTCCGTCCAAACCGTGATCAATTGGGATGCTCAGGGAAGATCACCCTCCAAAAGCTGGCTTAGGCAGTGGCTCCTCTTCTCGGAGAGGCAACTCCGCCTGCAGCCGAGGTGAAGTTGGCATCTGTTTTGCAGTTTCAGATTCTGCTAGCATTGGAACGAGTACATGGATGTGCTCTCAGTGCGCCTTGTAAGGTAGTGGCAAATTTAGAGTAGAAGTGATGGATCCACTGCCTTCTGCCACTGAGAACCTGCCCATATTGGTAGACTTGGAGGAATGCCCTCTCGACGCGACGCGAGACAAAAGACGCAGAATCAGGGCTATGGTATGACAAGTCATATGGAGTGCATTACACTTTTAGTGACCCTACAAGTGGTGTGGCTAAGTCGCAGCAGGGCGCGTTTGTTCACAGCATCCCCCTTGTCATCCGTGTTTAGTCGCATCACCCACGTTTAGTCCCGTCGGAAATATAGAAACCCTACGAGTGCGCGGTCCGGATGTGGGTTTCAACACATGTACTGCAATGAATGAAAAGGCTGCGTGCCACAGGTATTCGTGCCTATGTCGTTTCATCACATCAGAAATATCGAAACCCCATGGGCACGAAGTCCGGATGTGGGTTTCAACATATGTAAGGAGACCAATGAAATGGCCGCGTGCAGCGTGTTCTCGTGCCCATTTTGCAGTGCATGTCTCACCTTATTTTGCAATGATTTTCGGGTTCTAACTCGTGGGGCTAGTACTTGAGCCTGCGCGACGCCCACGCGAGCTTGCGCAGTTATCACTTATTTATTCTACTTGGTGCTGGCCCTATGTCGCCTCACGCCGTCGAAAGTCGCATTCGAGACGCACATCCGCGGCATCACAACACATCAAGACCGGGCATTCTCCATGAAGACACTCGATTCCGCAAGCACCCGTTCGAGACACAAGTGGTATCACAGCACATCAAAACCAAGCATTCCCCATGTAGACGCTGGATTTCGCAAGCACCGACTCGAGACACAAGTGGCACCACAACATATCAAAACCAGCTATTCTCCAAGTAGACTCTCAATTCCACAAGCACTCGTTCGAGACACACATGCGTGGATCATTGCATTTTGGCGGAATCCCCCCTTGACCGCTGGATCGATGCGACCCAACACAACGCGATGCGACTTAACCCTTGGACTTGTAGTCTCCGATTCCTAGGCTTGCCTGGAGCCGCAATCATGAACCCGCCGGCAAGCTGCCTCTTTGCTGGCACGGCGCAGATCCCGCAGCCCGACTCTGCCAGAACCCTCCTGGCAGGTAATGCACACTCGGACGTTTCATGTCCTCTTATCCACATTCGAGTCTTTAAAGGATTAACGGTTGGGAGACATCTCCAGCTCCAGTGGATTTGCTAAGTAGACGGGTGCCAATACCTTTTCGAGCACAGGTCATCACCGACAGCAATTGATAGCAAGCACACGGCAAAGCCGGAGCTGGCCGTAACAGATTCTGCCTGCTCTCGAAAATACGATTGCAGCCTAGGTAACCTAGCTGTTTTCCAACGCTGCAGCAGATCTCCAATTGCCTTGTCAAAGAGGCGAAACCTGGGAATGTGGGGAGGCGGCTTTGCACATGACGCTGTGGATCAATCATTGTCATTCCTGTCTGTCAACAGGAGTGACATCCATGCACGAAGCACGACAACCCACAACCCAAGCAATACGGCAAATCACCGTGCATGTATGGGCGCAGCTCGTTAAAGGCTGGACTTACTTAGCCCATTCTACACCGGTTGAGCTGCATCCGTGCTGTCGCAACCGCTCCAGCTGACTATATTTGGCTTTGGGGGCGCTGCAAAAGCCAAGAGGCGTTTTCAGCATAGTCGGAAGAGGATCCTGCTCGTGGAACTTGTTCCAAACGATCTGCGAAAAAGATGTGAAGTCAAGCACCTGAGTGTCTGCGAACCATGATGGCTTCAGTTTGCAGTCACCAGCGCATGAAACCAGTTTCAAAGAGAAATGAAATGTTTTAATGCCACTGACACGACTTTACGATCACAGGGCTCCATCGGACAAGATCAGCCCGACCAGCCTAATCCAGGCAGAGGCACGCTATCGGCATTGAGGCCGTGCGCCCGCATGGCTGCCAATACATCTGCCTTCCTGGAAGGGTATCAGCGCTGCAGGATTGCTTTAACAAGTTAACAGGCATGATTCATGATATCTATGATGCATGATGTGCATGTCTTTGATCCCTGTCTGCTACAAATTCCGCGATAGTATGCGATAGTGTCTTGATGGAATTCCAACAGATTGTGGATGCGGCATTCACTGCTAACAAGACCTGAGAACGTACAGCATGTTCCAACCGCTCGGCCCACCTCAACGTTTCCAAGGACCTTTCCACAAAAAAACTGTTTGTTCCCGAGGAGCTTGGCCGGCAGCTCCAGGGCACGCAGGGACGCCTTCAGCTCGTGGTAGCCCACCCCGGCACCTGCTCCAGTTTCGGGCTGTCGATCAGCACGTGCTACAGGGTTTCGCGCAACAGCTGGGCAACAACTTGCTCTGGCCACAGAGCGAGGACGAATCAGAGCAAAAGGATGACCTGTCACAACGTAAGCACCCACTTCGCAAACTCCCATTTGCCTAAAGGATCTGGCTGCACTCCGGCTGTTCAGCAAGCCAAACAATCCTCGTGGATTTAAGTACAAGCCCTTCATCCCTGTAACACTGCCTCCCACGTTGAAGGTGTCGAAGGCCGCTTCGATCTCTTTTTGCCTTTCCTTTGCTGCGGCTTGCATGATACCTTTATGGCAAGGGGTTTGATAGCAAGGCGGGCGGGCACGCGGTGCCCAGCGGTGACCGGAAATGTCAACATTTCAGACAATGCAGCGATCTTCTCGGCAGATTCCGCTCTGGACGTTTATTCATACAGGGAGGTGTGGCCCGGATAGCGCAGCAATTTACAAGCTTTGTTGATTACTCGCCTGGCCGTTCAATTGGTCCTTGGTGGTTTAGCTCCCGATCCAAGCGAAACAAATCTCATGCAGCTGATGCAAAGCTAGATCTTCCGTTTGAATCTCCTTGCGGCCAGAATGCTCTCTGGAGGCTAGTCGATGCAGCCATTCCATCGCTTTCGGAGACTAGTCCAAGCTGTCTCTTGGGCTTTCGGATTATTGGCTTCAGATGGGCGGTCATCATTTGGCAGTGTCTTTTACGGACTTGTCCACGATGCTGGGTAAGCAGAGGGTTGCGCAACTCACGCTGGGAGTAAAGCAGCTTTTGCAAGAAGCGGGCATGCACAGAGACGCCCCAAGTCAGGCCGCTTCGTGCCGACACGACCAGATTCTTGCTGAGCCTTCGAGAAGCACGGAGCAGCCAGGTGCCCCGCTATCCCGGAGACTGTCAACTGCCGAAACACCAAGCATGGCCTGGTACGCTGCTTGGACTTTGTCTACGGAGGGTAGCATAAGAAACCACAGCACAGGCACGGCTGAAGCAATGTGGGATAGTTATGGGCACGATAGTCTTGATAGCCTTGTAACTTTGTGTCTAAGATCTGCTTTGATGAAAACTGGCGCTCAACAGCTTGGCCATCCGAATCCCTGCTGAGTGGCGGGCGGC